GGTGGGGGAGAGAAGTAACAGCGAGGCATCTGTCTCACGTTGTTAAAACAACTACTGAAGGAGACGCTGAAGACTTTTTTCAACCCATGACATGAGCTTCCTTCATGTTGTGATGAAGCTGGGCCCAGTCAGGACTCCCCAGCTGACTCTGTGTTTTAACTTTTTAAAAAAAATAATAACAGTCATGTATCTTATGATCACTGTTGACGCATTGGCATGGAGCCTTCAAATGCACCAGAGGGAGGGCCAAGACTGTGGGGAAAAAGGATGTAAGGGGCACCCTAGCTGGTTTGGCTCAGTAGATAGGCATGTCAGCCTGCGGACTGAAGGGCACCAAGTTCAAGGCCCAGTCAGGGCACATGCCCGGGTCAATCCCCAGTAGGGGGTATGCAGCAAGCAGCTAATCAATGATTCTTTCTCATCATTGATGTTTCTCTCTCTCTCTCTCTCTCTCTCTCTCTCTCTCTCTCTCTCTCCCTGAAATCAATAAAAATATATTTTTTAAAAACTTTAAAAAATTTTTAAAAAGGGTGTAAGGGGTTCCAGTTGTCAGTGTGCCAACCTCAGTCTACATGGCAGGTGTCTGAATGTGAACAAATGAAATGTTTGCAAATTAAAATGCGTTTTAATGAATTCCCTTGTAAATCTTGTTGTCAAATGAATAATCATGTTCGGATTATCTCTAGTAATGCATTTTTTCATATGTCAGTTTTGCTTAAGCCTGCAGTGGTTCTCAACCTTCCTAATGCCGCGACCCTTTAATACAGTTCCTCATGTGGTGGTGACCCCCAACCATAAAATTATTTTCGTTGCTACTTCCTAACTGTCATGTTGCTACTGTTATGAATTGTCATGTAAATATCTGAGATGCAGGATGTATTTTCATTGTTCGCGACCCACAGGTTGAGAACCACTGGCTTACGGGATCTTAAGGATCTATAAAAGGAAGAGAAACTTAGGGAGATATCACTAGCTTAGAAATAAAGATCTTAACAGAATCTCTGCCCAGCCAGTACTGTTGCATCTGGACACCTCGCTGGAAATAAGAGAGCTGTCTCAGAAGGCGGCCTGGTAGCCCTGGCCGGTTTGGCTCAGTGGATAGAGCGTCAGCCTGCAGACTGAAGGCTCCTGGGTTCGATTCCGGTCAAGGGCACGTACCTCGGTTGCAGGCTCTTGGCCCTGGTCATACGCATGTGAAAGGCAACCCATCAATGTGTCTCTTCCACATCAGTGTTTCTCTCTGTCTCTCCCTCTCCCTTCCACTCTCCCTAAAAATCAATCAATGGGGAAAAATATCCTCAAGTGAGGATTAAAGAAAGAAAAACAAGGCGTCCTGTACCTGGAATAAAGCCTCTTGCTGTTTGCATCAAGTGACGTCTCCTGCGGTTGATTGGGGTCGCCGTCGGTCTGCGGGACAGAGTGAGGGTCCCATTTCTGGGGTCTCACAATTGGACCCTATGGCTGTGTGTGCTACCTCGAACGCAGTATCCCTCCAGCCTCCCCTCGGGGTCATAAAGGCACAGGTATCTCTGAGGAGATGCCCAGGTGCTCAAACTCCAGGCCACAGACAGCCCCAGACCAACCCCACACCAGAACGCATGCAGAATGTGAGGGGAGCAGCCCAGGGGACCACTGGCCCCGGAAGCAGGGGCCGTGGGACAGTCTTGGCCACCAAAGCTAAGGTGTGACAGACACTGCAGAACCGACACAAGTCACACCGATGGATCGCGGTCCCCAAAAGCTCCAGTCCCCGGAGGCGCACGGCTCAGTGGCCCGTGAATGCGGGTGCGCCCTGCCAGTGTGCAGACAGGTCACATGTGACTTAGTAAAAATCACCTTGGACGGGTAATGACAATATTCCGACGGCTGGTTATAGATTCTGAAGCCGGCCCAGACAGGAAGACACGTGTACGGTATGCTTAAGATGAAAGCAGGGCAAACGCGTGTTCCGAACTTCCCTATTGAAAAGAGAGAAAAGGAGAGCCAGAAGGTTACCAAAAGCATCTAGAAACACAAGTAACATTTAGGATACCTCCTATCTCCAGCCACCTAAAATTTCGCTATGAACCAGACAGTATTTTTAACCAGAAAAACCAGATCAACTCAAAAACTTAGGTGTTTAGCAGGTATGTCCCGGCTACAGTATTTTTTTTGTAATATATTTTTATTGATTTCAGAGAGGAAGGGAAGGGGAGAGAGACAGAGAGAAACTCAATGATGAAAGAGAATCATTGATTAGCTGCCTCCTGCATGCCCCCTACTGGGGATGGAGCCCAGAACCCAGGCATGTGCCCTTGACCGGAATTGAACCTGGGACTCTTCAGTCTGCAGTCTGACGCTCTATCCACTGCCACCTACAGTATTTTTAAGGTATATGTGGGATATCCTGATTTTTCGCATGCATAAATAACCTCATTGACATTAGCCTTAAAGAGTATTTCATTTTCAAGGACATTTATTGAGTTCCCGCAGTGTGGCAGAGTTATATACAGGGCAGGGGAGAAAATAGGTTTACAGCTTTTGGTATGGAAAATAACACAGTAATTAATAAATAATCATACAAGAATAGACTCTGTTTCATGTACTATCAACTACTTCTGTCCCACCCTGCACACCACAAAAGTTGTAAGAAGTATTGGCACACTGCATGTAGCCACAAACACAATACTTAACCCCTCCAAACCCCTCTCAAAGTCAGGCATCACTGATATTAAATTGTTTGGTTGTGCCCTAGCTGGCTTGGCTCAGTAGATAGACTGTTGGTCTGTAGACTGAAGGGTCCCAGGTTCAATTCTGGCCAAAAACACATGCATGGGTTGTGGGCTCGACCTTCAGTAGAGGGTGTGCAGGAGGCAGCATATCAATGATTCTCTCTCATCATTGATGTTTTTCTCTCTCTCCCTCTCCCTTCCTCTATGAAATCAATAAAAATATATTTTTTAAAAATTGCCCTAACCAGTTTGACTCAGTGGATAGAGCGTCAGCCTGGGGACTGAAGGGTCCCAGGTTCAATTCCAGTCAAGGGCACATGCCCAGGTTTCGGATTCAATCTCTAGTGGGTGGATGAGCAAGAGGCAACCAATCAATGATTCTCTCTCATCATTGATGTTTCTATCTCTCCCTCTCCCTTCCTCTCTGAAATCAATGCAAATATTTTTTTTAAAGTTGCCTCGTTGTTCAATGTACATTTCTGAAAACTGCATCCAAAGCATTTTTCAAGGTAAGATTGAGGGGTGGGGGGGAAGGAGTAATTCCACAAAACAGTTTTTTGGTGAGCTTGGAACGTCTTGGTGCTGTGACAACCAAAATAGCATCTCTCTTTAAAAAACAATCCCCATTGTTTCAGAAAAGGAAAGTGAATTTCAAGATCAAGTTCCTTACCTACAATGTTTCCTGGCACAAAAACAATCATGCTCATCATAATCGATCCGACCCAGTACAGCCCAATGTTCCTATAACTTTCCCTGCAACGAAAAGACCTTGGCTTAGTATGCCGTCTGCCGAAGACGAGCCACAGTGTTACCTTTATCCTCACTAACGAAGTACCTGGATGGAAACCTCCTGGAGAGTAATAACCCTGGTGCGCACCCTCCATTTCCTCGTGAGACAACCACAGAACCCTCCCTGTACCTTTTTGTTATTTCATTTTGGGTTTGTTTGTTTTGGGGGGTTTTTTGCTAATCCTCACCCAAGGATATTTTTCCATTGATTTTTAGAGAGAGTGGAAGGGAAGAGGAGAGGCAGAGAAAGAGAAACATCGATGTGAGAGAGACACATCGATTGGTTGCCTCCTGCACACACCCCCACCAGGGCCCAGGGCCAGGTAACCTGCAACCAAGGTACGTGCCCTTGACTGGAATCGAACCCGGGACCCTTCAGTCCGAGGGCCGACACTCTAGCCACTGAGCCAAACCGGCCGGGGCTCGGTCCTTTGGAATAGGAACTACACTGCTACCCTAACCTGTGGACCACAACACCCTCGTCACTGCGAAAGCAGGCCTGCGTTTCACTCTTAGGTACGAAACGGAAAAGGAGGCTCAAAAAAGGATGGAAAATGGGTCCCCTTCCCAAACCATTGGAAGTACGAGTAATGGGTGTGGAGTGGACTTTCCCTGGTGTCACAGAACTTTGGCCAAAGCCCCTAAAGGTAAAGATAGTAAGTGATATATAGCCCGGCCGGTGTAGCTCAGTGGTTGAGCGTCAACCCAGGAACCAGGAGGTCACCAGTTCGATTCTGGTCAGAGCACATGCCTGGGTTTTGGGCTTGATCCCCAGTGGGGGGCGTGCAGGAGGCAGCCCGTCGATGATGCTCCTCTCTCATGGATATTTCTACCTCTCTATCCCTCACCCCTCCTCTTTCTCTAAAAATCAATTAAAAATATATATTTTAAAAAGTGATATGTACCCCTAATCTTCTTAATAGGCGATGCTGACAAACAGATCCTTCAACCGATATCCCCATAACCCACCTCCATTAGGGGCTCCGAGACACTCCAAAGGGGAGTCTTAGCCGGGAACAGAGGGGTTCCCTTCTGAACTGTGTGCTTCCTGCCCCGCCTCCACCCATCCCCATCCCCCACCCCCAAGTGAGACCCATAGATCCCTCCAGGCAGGTCCGTTCAGTGACAGGGACTGTCAGTAGGACAGGCAAGAGCCCTCTCCCCCCATGGGCGCTAACAGAGCTGCAGAAACTCTGACCCACTCCCGACAGCATCCACGCAGAGCCCGGGCAGCCTCAGAAATACGGGACGTGTTCCCTAGAGCTTGGGAAGGGCAGGCTGGTGCCTAGAAAAGTCCAAAAATTAGCTGGAGCTGTCCTTGAGTTCACGATTGGGGGGTGGGGGTGCACGCACAAGCAGGGCAAGCATTTGCTCCAGCTGAACTTCAGCCTTGTACAGAAGGCGTGTCCCTAGCCGGTGTGGCTCAGTGGACAGACCATCGGCCTGCGGACCAAAGGGTCCCAGGTTCGAATCCCGTCAAGGGCACATGCCCAGGTTGCAGGCTCCTCCCCGGCCTGGGTCCTGGTCAGGGCTCGTGCAGGAGGCAACCAATCAATGTGTTTCTCTCACATTGATATTTCTCTCTGTCTTTCCCTCTCTCTTCCGCTCTCTTTAAAAATCAATGGGAAAATATCCTTGGGTGATTAAAAAAAGAGAGAGAGAGAGAGAGAGAAGAATGCATGGCTTTCCCTTACCTGCACCCACGGGAGGTCTGGGTAGGTGGCTGGACTTGACTGTCCTGGGCTAAGGGACCCCAGCGGAGAGAAGCTGTGGTGTACCCCCGTGGGTAGGGGAGTCACAAACTCACTCACTGCAGGGATCGGTGCAATGCAGAGCGTCCTGTGCAGGGGTCTCCAGAGAGCCCACGTGTGTGCCCCATAGCACACCCAGCATATCCTAAAGCAGGGCCAATCCCCAGGAGATTGTATCATTGAAGATCCTGCCCCTCTTCCTTTAACCCCGTTTACATACATACATCCTCAGAGAATCCAGGGCAGGCTGACTGGAGAAGGAATGGAAGGACAGACCCTCACGCCTCAGGCCCATACCTGGACGGGGGAAAGGCAGCTTGAGCGGGCGTGAGGCTGAAGCTTTGCGTTAGAATGTGCTGGGCTCGCCCAAGCCGGTGTGGCTCAGTGGATAGCCTGCGGACTGAAGGGTCCCGGGTTCGATTCTGGTCAAGGGCACATGCCCAGGTTGCAGGCTCGATCCCCAGTAGAGGATGCGCAGGAGGCAGCCAATACATGATTCTCATCATTGATGTTTCTCTCTCTCCCTCTCCCTTCCTCTCTGAAATCAATAAAAAAAAAAAAATGTGTTAGGGCTTAAATTCCTGAAAAACAGTGTTCACCCTTCCTCTCTGAAATCAATAAAAAAAAAATGTGTTGGGGCTTAAATTCCTGAAAAACAGTGTTCTCATAAGAGAACAAAATCAATCAGGAAGTTAAGGGCCTGCCGGAGCCATCACCGCGGCAGAGGTAACCCAGACAGCCAGGTGCAAAGGGCCGGGGAGCGAAGAACGCCGGGTCTGACTCATCTCCAAGGAGCAGCCTTCAGTCCGGGGATACCTGTCTGTCCACTTGCCTCTGTGTTCCCCTTACCTACCCGCGGATCGGTCACTAAGGCGGCGGAGACACACACCCCGGCGAAGTGACTTACTCCCATGCGATGGCCGCCACCATCACCAGGTACATCAGGTAATGGGCGGAGCCGTCCCAGTAGCAGACCATGTGCCCATGCGCCGTGTTCAGATACGGTTCACCCTGAGGGAAGCATGGAGAGGAGTCCGCTTTACATGGGGCTCAGACACCGCGCAGACCACCAGGCCTGCACCTCGCGTAAAACACAACAGACCTGATGTGTGCAAGTCTGCTCAAGTGAAACGACGCTGCATCTCGTAAAGTTACGAAATCGGCAGGAAGGGCAAAGTACAACTTTAGCCTGAGCTGGTTTGGCTCAGTGGATAGGGCATCGGCCTGTGGACCAAGGTCCCAGGTTCGATTCCAGTCAAGGGCATTTACCTCGGTTGTAGGACCTCCCCGGCCCAGGGCCTGGTTGGGACTCATGCAGGAGGCAACCAATAGGTAACTAATCGATGTGTTTCTCTCACATCAATGTTTCTCTCTGTCTTTTCCTCTCTCTTCCACTCTCCCTAAAAATCAATGGGAAAATATCCTCGGGTGTTGATTAAAAAGTTGTAAGTAGCCCTAACCGGTTTGGCTCAGTGGATAGAGCGTTGGCCTGTGGACTCAAGGGTCCCAGGTTCGATTCCGGTCAGGGGCATGTACCTTGGTTGTGGGCACATCCCCAGTAGGGAGTGTGCAGGAGGCAGCTGATCGATGTTTCTCTCTCATCGATGTTTCTAACTCTCTATCCCTCTCCCTCTCTGTAAAAAAAAAAAATCAATAAAATATATTTAAAATAATAATAATAAGTAAATAAATAATAAAAAGCCATATCCTTGGATGAGGATTTTTTTAAAAAAATGCTTACTGTCGCCCGGCTGGCGTGGCTCAGTGATGAAGCATCGACCAATGAACTTGGTGTATGGGACGATGATTATCTCTCACCATTGATGTACTCTATACGCGTAAGACTAACTTGGGCTTTCAGATGCAGTGATATTTTAATAATATTACACAAATTCTCGATTCATTTAAAGTTCGTCTTTTCCATTAAATGTAAGTGAAGGAGATTGGGTGGGTGGGTGGCCCTGGGGCTGAAGGCGCAGACCGCGAAGCGGGGCCATACCTCTCGCAGGTAGTGCGTCATGAACCCGTCGATGACTCCGTCCTGCTCCAGGCCTATGATGAGGTTCACCACGCTGGTAAAGCCGAACACGGCGTACACTGGGGAGAGAGCAGCGGTGTACACGGAGCAGCCCGGAGGCGATGCCAGGAGCTGGCATCTGCCAGCAACGATGGACTGTTTTAATGTTTTCCAGAAGGTTCCATGGACACTGTCCACACGGGCCAACAGGACATCCCTCTGGCACACACAGCCGGATCTCCGCCCGCGTCGTGGGTCTGACATCGCTGCCCACGTGCGCTCACCGAGGGGACACACGCCAGGGGTAAGAATGACAAACTCAGCCCCTAACTCTGTCACCTCCTCCACTCCCTACCAGCGGATGCCCAGGGCCACACCGGCACCCAGCTGGACAAACCCTGTAACCAGTGGCCACAGCGTAGAGGTGACTGCCAGGTTTAAAGTAATGACTTAGAAGAGTTAATTACCCAACAGGCCAACTCCCCATGTACCCTAGCCCT